GTTACGAAGGTCAACTCAGCCTGAAGTATGGAAGAAAGAATAATTTTGGAAGGCATTTCTGATTGATATGATTGAAATAGAATTTTGATTCAACTGTAAAACTTACTTTATATGCCAAATTATGATACTAAGCGGTAAATTGTATCTTCATGTTGATTGGTACCAACAGGAAGTGTTCATATCACCTCTCCTCTCATTTGTATACCACTTCATCATTCTCAACATCTTGTTGAGATACAGTATGATGAAGTGTGTAAAAGGTGAAATGATATGAGGAGAAATGTAAAGTAAAACTTGTTAACAATGTGATCGCTGTCTCAAAATGTCATTCGAACATGAGAAAAACATGGATGGAGATATTACAAGATACATTCTTATTCTTATGAAATAAATGACCTTCGACCTCCTTGTTCAATTATCCCAATTTTGCAATTTGAGTTAACCAAATCCTACTTTGAAATTCATTCATCAAATATTTTGCATTTTTTGATTCATGAACTTAGCTTAACGGTTAGAAACGATACTGAACTGTGCAACTAGCAAAATTAACCAAGTTGGAATTCGGAATTAATAAAAATTTAAATGATAGATAAATACATAGGCAAAAATTGAAGCTGACTTTGATAGTGGAAGTTCTTTTTGTGATAATAAAAGGCTGATAGCATTTATTTGATAGATGAATGTGCATATGCTTTAAATAAATTCGAGTTTTAGAAGCATAAAAAAGATTAATTGAAATTAATTTCTCATTAATTAATACATTTTTTATTTACTTCCTTTTCATTTTTTTGAATGATTTTCCAGATTTCTCGCCGTCAACCACATGTTTTCACAGCTACGATACATTTGAACAAAATTATTGTATCTATTCCCAATTTATTATTATCTTCCATTCATTTCATTTCTTCTGAATTTCAGATTATTGGTTTTTTTACTTTAATTTTAACTATAAAGTTCTAACTTTAAACTTTTTAAGCTACGAGTACTAAACAAATGATAGCATGAAATAGTTTGCTAGCATATTACAATAAAATAATTTAAATGTCACATTATTCTTTTCCTACAATTCTTTATTAAAATTTAGTTTCTATTCTTTTGGGAAATAAAAAAAAGCTAAAACAAATATATTTTGTTTTGAGAATTAACAATTGACAGTTTGATTTTATTTGCGATTACAACAATACATTCATGTGTGATTTAAGTTTTTTGAATTAGTTTACTATATCAATCTTTCTCTTCCTTCATTATTAATGTAACTTCTCAAAATGATCAAATCTTTTTCATTTAAAGTTTAAGCTAATAGAATTAGTCCAAATAGCACTTACATTATGGCTTCTTCGGTTGGTAAACGTTGCAAAGTGAAGTAAACAAATACTATCTGTTATTGTTCAAATAGAAGTGAACTTTGTTTTTCAGTTTATTTCCAAAATTAAAAATAAAATTTTTAAAGCAATCTTGATTGAAATATTCTAGCAACTGCTATATCAGAATAGAAAAACCAATTGATATCTTCCGATGGCATTTCTAAAGTAATTATTAAGGCACTATTGACATTAACTTTAGCACATACAAATTTTAAATGATAAAATTGTATTCATATTTGAATTCATTAAGTTCAATGTATGAATTATTTTAGATAATTATAGGCATTGCCTTACTTCTAAAAATTTGTTAATAGCTAAGATATTTTTTTTTAAGTTACTACTCTTTTAGTAAATATTTTTGACTTATTTGTTGTTTATTTCCAATTTTTTAAAGCGATTTTAGCTATGAATCATTTTCCGATAGTTTTTTTTCTTATTTTTCGACCTTTCGAAAAGTTTGCTTTTCTTAGATAAAAGCAAAAAGTGCGAAATAATTTGCAAATATCCAACAAAATTTTCGCTAAAAGATGTTGAAAATAGCAAAGTAAATTGAAATAAGTAAAATTAAAAGTTTTTTTGTTAGAAAAATTGAAAATAATTTAAAACAAAAAATGAAAATTTCTTTCGTTGAATGAATGATATCAATTCGTTATTCTGTGATAGCAACATGTCAAATGTCATTTATTTGCTATTTTCGGGAAAAATATCTTCCGATTTTTGAAATATTTCTGGTTTTATTACATTTCAATTAATGTTGTTAATTAATTACTTTCTAAGAATAAAATGAAAAAGTTTTTCAAATCTTTACATTTTTTTATTGATAATTTTGGTGGTATTCCACTGTATGTTTCTTCACACTTACTTATATAATGATATATTTGATTTATTCTATCATCGATAACATTTAGATCGATCTTTCATTAATACCTTCTCCACGTAAGTGAATTAGGAAAAATATTTAATGTAAATGATAATTTGGTGATTCAGTGCATAAGTATTTCCATTTACATATTTTCTATCATTAATTAATTCTCTTTTTTTTCTATCATCGAAATTAATTGCTTGCTATATAAATTTTTAAAATTTCTACGAAACGGATGAAAAATTCGGGAGTTAAATATGCTTAAAATTCAAATTTTTTATTAATAAAATAGAAATTCGAATCTTTCATTGAAAACAAAAAATAAAAATTAACGTTTACACGCTGAGATGCTTAACTTTCAGATGAATATTCTGATTTAAATTTGGATTCGGAATTTTAGCCTTTTCCTAAATGTAATAAAGTACAATTTCGATATTAAAATTCAATTGATTACTGAAATTAAACGAATAAATAGGAGTTTTACATGTAATAAGAGTCATCTTGAAAAGACAATTGCTGATAAGTTAATTTTCCTCCTGCAATGCAGTATAAATCTTCAGCAACTTGCACCATGTTTCTGCTTACCACTAGTTTTATATCGGAGTCCCAATTTATGAAGCTGAAAATTTCTTCATGTAGATTTTTCCGTAATAAAAATTATATATTTTGAAAGCTGTCATAAATGAGTTTAAATTCATTTCAAAGAGTGCGAAAAAATTTCATTTTCTCTATGAATATTCAAATTTCATGTACATTTTGATGCTTCAGTTTTTTCGCCTTTCCGAAGGAAGTGACGGCGTGGGAATATTGAATTCAAAAATCTTGAAAGAAGTTTAAACATTCATTGTGTTCCGGAAGTTCTGCAGAAGCTTTCGAAAAGAGAAGGAAATAATTATTCAGTGACATTGTCAAGATTCTAGCTGAGAGCAACTTCTTTTATAGTGATTGAAAAAAGAAAAAATGCCAAGGTAAGTTATTTGATTCCGGTTTTCGGATTAAAATATTTACTAGTTTATGGTTCATAAATAGTGAAATATTTTTTCGATATGCAGTTTTATTTGATATTAAAATGATTTCCATTTGAATCATGCAAGGCAAACAACGATTCATCAAATAGCACTTAATGCAAATAGCACTTGAAAACGCCATTCAATGTTAGTTTTGCATAATTTGAATAATGTTTTAAAGTATAAATTTTAGTTTCTAAATGAAAAAATGAAATTACTGCAAAATTATTTTTCAATTATCTTTTTGCATTTACTGTTAAATCCTAACGTTGTTTAATTGTTTAATTGTTAATTATGTTATAAGGTTAATTTTTTGCCAAGAATTCTCCAAATCTTTTTGTCTATCAGTAACTATTTAAATTCAGTTTTTAAATGCTTTCAAGTATTCCCTTAACTTTCAAAAAAAAGATGGTGAAATGATTATCTAACCATTAAAGTCTCAACTTCTTCTCAACTGCAATAAAGTTATTTTAGAGAAAATTAGTAGAAAGAATAATTCATTTTCGCTAATTTTACTTTTCGCTAATTTTCGTCTCTTCGCTAATTCTCTAATTTTCGCTAATTTTCTTATTTTTGCTAATAACAATAGTGAACTATCCCCTAATTTGGTACTCATTTCGCTTTCATTACAACTATTACTTACTAAATTTTTGCGTCAGCCAAATTTTGAATGAATATTTTGAGTGAGAGAAACTTTTGGTTTTTTTAATCCATCATTGCACTATTGACTTTTTCTTCAGTGAGGGAAAATTTAAAATAATATAAAACTAAATGCAAATAAGTATCTTCATAATACTAAAAAATATGTTGAATTTTGAAAATATTTCTGCAGTCGGATCGTTGCGCCTCTTTCTTTTCCGCCATCTTTTACGTTTATCATAGTGCAAAAGTATAGAAATTACTGACACCGCTCAGAAAACGGATGTTTTTATGGTGTGGTAAGCGGTATATTTCAAGAAATAGCACTTGGAAGTTAGAAATTGAAAAGATCTTAATGTTAGACGGCTACTATAGTTCGCATAAACCATTCCGCTCCATTAAATTATTACTTTCAACTTTAATATTTCTTACGAATTACCTTTTTATCGCTTTTCCTTCACTTATCTTCTTTCAATTTTGTCTTATTTTTTCTGGAAAAATTTCTTAGCATTCAACGTAATCAGTAAACCTGATATGATGGAAAGAATGGTATAAAGGTCAGTGCAATAGTGCAATGGTTCAAAGTGCAATGGTTGCATTTTTTTTTCTTCATAAAGTATTTTTCCCATTGAACTTATGCATTTGAATGTTTTGTCTTTTAAACTTTTAGATCTTCTGAAATCTTTCAAATATTCCACGATTTTTAAGAAAGCAAAAAGCTTTCTTATCATTTATTTAACAAAGGAAAAATGCAACATGTCCCGAATAATTCTTATTAAGTAGCTGAAACTTCTGCATCTTCATATTCATATCATGGCCCAACAAATATGTGATAAACATAGGTTAATTTTTATTTTGCAAGTAATAAATGCTTTGTTGAGCTGTTCGAGGCATTGATATTTGCCTTTATTTGTCTCCCGCCATCAGTAATATTCGTTATGATGATGTTGAAAAGTCTTTCATTTTGAACGACTAAATATAGCAAAAGCTTCAAATGATTTTTCCTAGAAATTAATCTATTCTACTAACCTTCAGAATTTCATAATCTTATTCTTGCAGCTACTCTACTATAAACTTCGAACAAAATTTTCAATCTCCTTTTTTTAAATGTTTTTTTTGGGCAACGTTATGATTAACACGAAAAGTTCATCGTTGGAGTGCGATGAAATCGTTGTTGTAAGGGACGGAAATAAGATGGATATCGAATTGGAAGCAAACGATCAACACAGTAAAGAATCATTTGCTGATTTCTTCAAACGTATACACTTTTCCTATTAAATATTAATATTAAAAAATTGAAATTCAGAAAAATTTATACCTTGATCATTCCAATTTTTTCTCATAAAATTACAATGCATTTGACAGATTTTCAATTGAATGTTTATTTTAGGACAAATGAGAAATGTTTTGCATTTCTTAGTGGAAGATTGGTGTCTCTCAGCGATGCTTGGCATTATAACAGCTATATTATCCGTTGTGATGGATATTTGCATCGAAAAATTACAATATAGTAAAATCTCATGCATTTCTTCTTGTAAACATCATCAAATTTCCATAAAAATTGAGCCATATTATAAATTTAAGATACCTTGCAAATTTCATTTGCATAAATTTATTCTATTCATCAAATAAAGGCCATGTGGCTTTCTACGAGGCCCTTCGAATACATTGGCACCATTACTTGGCTTTGTTACATTGGCTTTTACACGTCGTTTTATTAACATTTCTTTCGGCTGCTGCTTGTTTATGGATTTCTAAGCAAGCCGTTGGTTTGTTTATTTGTTTATTTATAAAATTTTCAAATTAAATGAATGGGAAAATGAGTTAATTTATTTTTTGATTTAGTCTTAATCCATTAAGTTATTATTTTTAACAGATTAGACTAAATTAAGAAATAAATAAGAAATTTAATTCTTTGAAAAAGGAATATTACAGAAGGTGAATTCATTTCGGATTTCACAATTAATTTCTTCATTTTTTCAAATTTTTACAATATCAGGTAATTTTCTGCCTATTTAGGTTCAGGTATACCGGAAGTCAAAGTAATAATGCATGGATTTAAAATGGAAAATTATCTTACTGTTCGAACACTTATTGCAAAAATGATTGGATTAACATTAGCAATTGGTAGTGGCCTACCAATCGGAAAAGAAGTTTGTCATTTTCTAAATTAGAAAAATCTTTTGTTCTTTTTATTTAGCGTTCAAAAACTCTTCTTCTAGTTTTCCTGAGATCTAAGAAAGCATTTCAAACAGAAATGATAACAACTGTGAATATTTTTCGGATACTGATTATCATTCATCTAAAGAGAGCTTTCCCAATATTTTTTTCAAATTACTGTGTTACATTTGCTAAATTTCAGTTTTTAGCATTCTTAAAATTCTAATCTTGACATTTTTGACTTTCAAATTTTTAATCTTTAAATTTAATTCTAGATTTTCTAAGTTTGTGATTTGTAGATACAAGCTTTCAGGGACCATTTGTACATATGGGTGCTATTGTAGCAACTATTTTGAGTAAAGTGACTACCAGTTGTCATTATACAGAATTTTTTTCAAATGAAGGTCGAGAAATGGAAATGCTCTCTTCCGGTTGTGCTGTTGGCATTGCATGTACATTTTCAGCTCCTGTCGGAGGTAATTATTTTTTTCTTCTAATTAACTTCAACACGTAGAGGGCATGAATCATTTAACTTTCGATTCCATATTGAAGCTTCTTGTAAAATACGCGACAGCATACTAATTGTTTATAAAATTTCATTTTCAACAGCAAAATTTTTTATAGCAGTATTGTATGCAATCGAATCCACATCGAAATATTTTGCTGTGAAAAATTATTGGCGTGGTTTTCTGGCTGCGACTTGTAGTGCGATTGTTTTTCGATTTGCGAATTTCTTCGTTACTGCGGAACAATCTGGTAAACAGTCTAATAAATTTTAAATTTCTTGGCAGAAATTCTACTGTATTCGTACTTCAAATAAAGAACGTAATAGAATATATGTTTTAGTTAAATAATTACTTTCAAAAAATCAAGTTTTCAGGAACCATAATGGCTTTTTATCAGACAAGTATTCCAACTGAGTCGTTTTTGGTAGAAGAATTGCCGATATTCGCATTTTTAGGGTGCGCTATTGGAGATTCCAATAATCCTTCAAAACCCACCCAAATCAGACTATATAAAACACATAAGCTAACTTTAGACATCTTGGATTACTGTAATGTAACGAGGCTTTGATGAATTCTTTAGTTTCTTATTCAATTAAACAGTCACATAAGGCGCAATTTGTAGATTACTTGGTGGTTTATTTGCGGCACTATTCATTTTCACTCATAGGCAAATAACTTTGTTCCGCCAAAGCAACACTATCTACAGGATGATCTTTCGAAAAAAGTACTATTTCGCTTATTATTTTCATTTTTAATTCCAACATTATAATAATCATTTATCTCTCAAATTTGTTATCTTTTAATTGGTTGATTTATATTTTCGATATGATAGTTATTTTCTGCTTATCTGTTACAGCTTTTTTGCATTCACAATTTTTATGGCATTAGTTGTTGGTATACTTACGTATCCGGAAGGTTTCGGTCGTTATATTGCCGGACAAGTAACGTCTTCAGTTTCTTTTATTTTTAAGTTAATATCCTTTACATATGAAAATTACGTTATAATTGCTCATTTAAACTTGAACATTTTTTAGTGCCACCTTGAAAATGCATAGGAATTCTCTCTTTATTTTATTAACAGAAAGATACTTTAATTTGGCGAATGTTTTGCAAAATCACTTACCAAACAGTAATGCTTGAATTCCAAACTTTAGCTTCAGTCGAAAAGACAGTATTAAATTTCATATTAAAGCATTTTGCATTTTCAGTATAAAGTTTGTGCAATTGTTTGTCTAATTTTGCCCGTAATGACAACTGTCGTATCACTGGAGGGAAATGTAATAATTGGAATTTCAAATATGTACAGTAAAATATCAGCAGCAGATACTTTATAGATGATGTCACCATTTTTTCATTCTCAAAAACAACTTAACATTTTATGAAATTAAATTTTGGATTTGTCAATTTCTAAAAAAGGAAAGATATAAATGAGTGTTAAATTTCTAGCTGACGTTTCGTGAAACTATGGTTGATTTTTTTAACAACTGTACAATGCATATTACAAATACCAGTAAACAGCCGTGTAGTGAGAAGCTCCTTCAACATTGGACCGGTGTCGCTTTCGGAAGTCAAATAACCATATTTCATTCACTCACGTGCTATTTAATCACTTACGTAAGCTTCGCTTTGATGCACATTAAGCTTTTTTAATTTAAATTTTAAGAAAATTGATGCAAAAATTTTTTGTTAGGGAAGTTGAAATCTTCATTACTTTGTATTATATAGCATCTTATGATGGATCTCAATTGTATCAATGCTTGTAATTGCGGTGACAATGGAAATTTTCAGTTCTTTCTAGTAGCAATTTGTATATCCATCAATGTCCCAGCAGGTGTTTTTGTGCCATCGTTTATAATTGGAGCAGCCGGTGGTCGTTTAGCTGGTGAAGTAATGGCATTTTTCTTTCCAGATGGTCTTCGTGGATCAAATGGGCCGCTTATTTTTCCTGGACTTTATGCGATTGTTGGTACCTGCAAAATTTTGTCTTATTCTTAACCGATTTTTTAAATTTGCAATTACCATGTTCTAATCTAAAATTCAAATTTATTCCTTGTATAATATGGAATGATTAATCACATGCAGGGCTTTGTAAGCTATTTAACAGTAATATTTTTCCAGGTGCAGCAGCTTATACAGGTGCAGTAACACATACACTTTCTGTAGCAGTAATTATATGCGAGCTTACGGGGCAGCTTACTCCATTACTACCTGTTCTGGTAACATTTTATCCTGTTAATTTTTAAGTTGGTAGATTATTTTACATATGAGCATTAAATAAACTTTTGTATGAGGATTTGAAAAAGTTATAAAAGCAGTGAGGAAATTCTCGTTTAGCCTTCAGTCTTCAAAAAGGATAGAGGAAATGAATAGGATAAAATGAATAGGCAAAAAGGATAGAGGAAATGAATAGGATAAAAGGAAAAGTGAAACAGTCAATTTTTAATAAGTAATACAATAAATGATATAGCGTCGAAGAAATTATTAAAATTTCGATGTGTGTAGATAGCAATGCTGGTGGGTAATGCAGTTTGCAAATTTTTACAACCTTCCATTTATGAAAGTATTATTCGAATCAAGAAATATCCCTATCTACCGGATTTACCACCTTCTAGAATCAGGTTATCTTGAATTATAAATAAATGGATTTTTAAATAACTCTTTGAAAATTTAATGAAATGTGAAAATCTTAAGTCTGTTTAAATACTAAGCGGAAGAAAAATCTAAAATTATATTTTACATTCTATCTTCGAGGAGAAGTTTACAATGCTAAATTATTAACTGTTTACTGTTATCTACTCATTTTGATGAAATAGGATAATTAAATCACTTAGAAATTGAGATTTTCATTTACATTAGAATTTGAATTAATTCCTAGGCCTGGTCAGATTTCTGATGCTCTGAAATAGAACAGCAAATATGGATTAATATTTTTTGCAATTTCTTTTTCACCTCCATAGTATTGACAGCATTGTGCAGTCTAAATTATGCATAAAAACTGATAACACTTCCATATTTTATATTCAGAATTAATTAACCTTACAATTGGCCTTCCTCATTTCATGCAAAAAATTTTCACTTTCATGTGATGAAATTCTTTTTGCTCTTTTCCGACTTATATAAATACAAACATTATAGTGTGCATGCGATAAAAGTGGAACAAATTATGGTTAAAGATATTATTTATATTACAAAATCGACAACTTACAGAGAGCTCAGCAAAATATTGCATTTTGCGCCAACGCTTAAAAGTTTCCCTGTTGTTACTGATCGAAGTTCGTTGCCTTTTCCGGAATTCTTCCAAAAATTTTGAATTGTTTCTTTTAACAACTTAGTTGAAAAATTTTTTCATGATTGCTCCACGATTGTAGTGCTGAAATTGTTGAGAAACTGCAAAAGTTGCCGCAATGGATCTAATTTTGCTTTCTTACAATCATTCTTAAATTAATTCCGTTGTTCGATAGATTAATTAGCACATTTAATATGTTTAGTCCATGAATTGCGAATTATTTCATTGTTTATAATTCGATAAATTTAGAATACAAAATATTGCTTGGATCTGTAGCCAAAAAATATTTGGCTATAATAATGAGGCGGCAATTGATTGATGCGGAATGCAGTCCGCTTTCTAATAAGAAAACTGCTGGAGAGATTTTCAACAGCATAAAAAAGTATTCTTTTTCTTTGTAATTTATTTTTTAGAATTCATATCACAAATTATTATAACGTTTTATTTCTTGACAATTAAAAAAAATATTTTGATATGTAATTATTTTTAAAAATTAGTTATCTCTATTTCTGAAATCGAATATTAGTACGACTATTCTTATTTTTCTATAAGCCGATATTTTTATCTAAGATATATATATATTTTACTTCAGATCATCATTACGATTATCAAGAAGAAAACGAGAATACCAAAATCGAGGAAATGGAGCAGCATTGTTGGAACCGAATGCGAAGAACTCGTCAGATGATGGCTCGATCACCGGCAATACATTACTTTTAATTTCACCTCTTCATGGTCCACATGGTAACTTATTTTTTGACCTTTAGTCTATTGCATATTGTAAAAGTATTACATATTTTCAGCTTTTTGTTGATGAAATTTAATATTTGCTGATGAAAAAGGCTTGAGCTATTTCCAAGTACAGCAAGTACTATCTATAGTTGGGATAGCTCAAGTAATAAAAATAGGACATTTATTTCGGCTTGGGCATTTTTGTATCTAAAAAAGCGATAATTTTCAAATGACACACAAAATGCTGTATGTCCACTATAGTTGGTAGATCGAAGTAGTAAATTAGACGAAATGATCACATGGGCAGATTTAATGAAAGTTAGGTGCATTTAAAATAAATTAATAATGAATATGCGAATACTTCAAGCATTTTAATTTAGCATTTCTCCTCTTTGATGTTATCAAATCGAGAACACTGGAAGAGATAGGTTTATTAAATGCTATAATATCATAAATTTGAAGAGTACATTTCCGTCCATCGTGCATGTTAAGTTGCATTAAATCATTTAATTTCAGTGCGGCATTTATAAATAATGCGCATTTTGCTTGATTACTGTAAAGCATAGATTTTAAATTAGCTTTTTAGCAGTTTATAAGACGTAGGCGACATTGATATTTTCAAAAAGTGTTTCTTAAGCGATATATCACATTCTCATTATGTGATAAGTATGTTTCGAAAGTTTTGCCTTGCAGATTTGCCATTGTCAGCGATATTTGTAAAACCAACAAGTGATGAACTAAAGAAAAGGGCAAACGTGAGCAAAGAAAGCTTGTTAGATCAAGTAATAGATCTGGATGAAGTGGCTATCGATTCTGCTCCATTTCAACTTGTTCTCGGTTCATCACTATACAAAGTAAAATTCGAATTCATTCCTTTCTGAAACAATGACAATTACTTCCTTTGCTGCAAAAGATCAGAACAATTGCTAATTGGATTTTTCGTGTCTGAAAAGAAAACAGAAAAAATAAACATATACAATTTTATCAGAGTAAAAATAAGAGAGTTGTCACATTGCAAAATTTTTCTGTTATACATGAAAAATGGAGAGATATAGAAGCAAAAGAATTGTTTTAATTTAAAGAGCAATTTTAGGTGCATATGTTATTTTCGTTGCTTGCACTATCTCACGCATATGTTACCGATCGCGGGCGACTAGTTGGTGTTATCGCTTTGAAAGAGGTGCTTTTTTGCATGCTCGTTTTTATTAATATTCCTCGAGGTTAAAAATAATTGTCATCAAATAAAACAATTTAAATCAAAATCGATCACTTTTATAACATTTTAATTTCCACAACTCATGGAGTTCTCGTGACTTCTGATATTATAGTCAGACAGAATCAGTAGAATTCTTTTAATCGTTTGCGCGAGATGCGAAAGGAAAGTTTGCTTCTTTTGGCTATTGAAGTCGTATCTTTCATTGTAAAATATTCACGTTCCTACGGTTGAACAATGCCAGAATAATGGACATATGGTCCATTATAATCAAAAATTTCAATAAAAATAACAGCAGTTTAATCTCATTATAGCAACTCAATCATCAAATCTATCCGATCACTTTATGCAACTTATTGTTAGGAAACTTAGGCAGTTCGTAAGGCTGATAATTCAAGAGCCTAAAAAATTGAATGAAATAGTGTGATGACTGCTATCATTAGCTCCTCACTATAGTCATTTGAAATGTTGTATCGAGAAATTGAATAAATTATCCTATTAATGAAATTCGAAGAATTATTTTTAAAATTTACAGTTACGTGATGCTCTAGCAAATATATATGTTCGTGGTGCAGTAGCGGTTAATTCGCAGCGGAAACTAACCACTAGCCAGTCATTGCTGTCACGAAAATTAGATGAATAATTGAAAGAAGTGTTGAAGAGACTAAAGCAAACGATAGCAATATTTTTTTCTGAAGTCGAAATCCGGGTTTATAATCTATGATTCGTTATACAGATGGAAAAAACCTCATGCATAAATTCAGCATCTTTTAATTTCCAACTGCGTTTCGCTTATCGAATTTAGTGTTCATTAGTTACACACTTTTGAATAAATAAATCGAAATAATAATGTTTTCGTAGACTGAAAGCAGTAGATGACTAATTTCTTTCTGTTATTAATTTTAAAATTTTACTTTGATTTTTCAAACTTTAATTTTTCTGGAAGAAGAAAAAATTGAATTATGATAGTGGTGCTATTTCTATGTTTACTTGTTCTTATACTTTTGAGCCAAGATCAATATTTGGTTGAAAAAGAAATTGTTTAATATAATAAATATATTTAATATGTTGTAATTAGTTATCACGGCAATGAATTCTGTTATTACATTCAAATTCTATCATTATAACTGTCAAGGCAACTATAAAAAAAATGAAATCCTTGAAAGATGAACCATTCAGAATTGCTAGAATCTGATAAATTCATATCTTTATCAAATCATATCAAATACGATGAACTTAATGAAATCTTTTCATTATATTAAATGCAATTTTACACTGTTACTGATGTCGGAAATACTTTTTTTTACATCAAATATTGCCTTAGTATGTTTTTGTTAATAAATTTAACCTTTAGTTTTTCTCTCTCACTTAGTAATTTGATGTTTGCTGGATAGAAAGGATAACAATTAGATTAATTCTAATTAATTAGATTAATTAACCCTATTAATTCTAATTCTATTCTACACGCGGTGTGTGTTTTCAATACTGAATAACTTACGATTTCTTGAAAGAATTCTATTCACACTTCTGTTGGCTCCCATTACTCACTTTATTTTACTTCCCTAACTTCCGCTCAATATTAAGAGAATGCACCTATGACCGAAACGTATATCTTACGTATATCAAACGAACATCAGGTATTTCTTTCTCCTACTGTTTAAAAAAGTATTGTCTAACAATGTATGAATAATAAGCATATTACGTTATGATCTTATTCCCTTCTTCCTTGTAATCTAAAAAATCAGCTGTTTTGCCCGGTTAAAAACCACTATTCGTAATAATAATAGCTATGGAATATTAACAATTTGGAAAAGTTTTAACTTCTGTTCTCGGTTTGCATTTTATTGCTGATGTCCTTCACTATATGGCTTTCAACAGTGTAAAATTGTATTTAATGTAAATTATTTTCATATAATATATCTCATTTGAAAATTTTATATCTTTGCGTGTTGACCGCTGTGATTTAAACTCCAACTGTGATCTAAGCCGAAATTAAATAAATCTGGTTTAATTACTCACAGATGAGACATTTTTATTTAGTTGGAAAATTTTCAATGTAAATCAAGCATTGCTTAAATTTGCCAAAACAGTAATATAATTACTGATGTCGGAAACAGTAATCTTCCTGAGAAGGGCAAAAATAGCAATGTAGTAAGGTAAGGATAATTCAGTCATCTTTAAACAAAGGATAATTTTAATTAATTCATTTTCTTCTTTCCAGCTTTTTCAAACAATCCGAAAACTGCATTGAAAAATTAGCAAAAAATGGTCTCATAGGTGAATAAATATTTTTCAAAGCAAACAATAATAAGAGAGATACAATGTAAGGCTACGGAATTTGAAATTGTTAACGATTTCCTTTTGATTCAACAAAGTTCGAAAACTCCATTAGATTTAAAGGCATCTTTTTTCCTTTCATCAACGTATCTCTATAAGTTGACCAATTACGATTTCAAGTCTTGTTTCCGAATCAAATCAGCGTACTTTCCCTCTAATTCAATAAGCTCCTGATGTGTCCCCTCTTCGATCACTCGTCCATTTTCGACGAAAAATATTTGATCCGCGTGTTGAATGGATGACAGCCTATGCGCAACTACAATACATGTCCGACCACTACTTGCCACGTCCAATGCTTGTTGAACTGTCTGAATGGTAGATTGATAAGAATAATTGAAAACAAAGAGATTCTAATGATGGAAACAATTTAATGTATCATATTTTGCTTCGTTAGTAATCCCAAAACACAGATTATTTGCAACTTTCTGTGAATTCTTAAGTTATTAAGGAAGCAAACTCCGTGAAAGATTTTTTAAAACCATAGAATTATTTTAAAGTAGAAACTAACTCTCGTTAATCAAAAGAATAACGAATTGAAAATTTTTCAATAATTTTGAAAGAGTGAAAATTCTGGATTAGAAGTATTTCAACATTAACCCTTTCGCTTTCTGCATCTAATGCACTGGTTGCTTCATCAAGCAATAATATTTTCGGATTTCGAACTAATGCTCTAGCAATAGCAACACGCTGCTTTTGACCACCTGATAACTGACCTCCATGTTCACCAACTTCCGTATCATAGCCCTAAATTGATGCTTTATCATGAAGGAAACTACTACAATTTATATTTTCTATAAGCAGAGCTTCATATCCCTATCTTACCTCTTTCATCACAATAAAAATTTCAGCAGTAAGTTTCCTTGTTACCTGTGGTAAATCTTCAATGAAACCGGTAGCATTAGCTATTTTGCAAGCTTCACGTACGTCATCCATTGTTTTACCATTAGTACCAAGCAAGATATTTTCTGCTATTGTGCCGCTAAACAGTACTGGTTCTTGACCGACCAGTGCTATTTGCTCGCGTAAGTATCGAAGTGATATTTTCGTAATTGAATTATTATCCAAATTCTAAAAGCCCATTTACTGCTCATTGGCTTGGGATTGATATTTGTGATATTTGTATTGAATTGGTTAAGAGGTATTGCTTTAAGCACGAAATTAGAGTGATGTCGCAGTGATATCATTTTGGCTTTTATTGCTACAAGTAATTTTTGTCCACCACAAGAAATAGCAGTGAATAAGAAAAAAATGTTTATTTTTAAACTCTATAAGCAATCAGTTGTTAATGCAAAATTTGGCTATATCAAGTTGTTCTTAAAAACTCCCTAAAAAATTCCAAGTTCAGTTTTTTTGTATTTAATTACAAAACTTTTTTATTGACTGTAATAATTTGTAAAGAAAATTGATGGCCTCAATAAGCTACCAATTGTCCAGAATTAAATTGATAAAAACGTTCCAATAACGCGATCACAGTACTTTTGCCGCTTCCAGATGGTCCAGTAACAGCAATTGTTTGTCCCTTAAATTTCATATTTCATTAAATTTTATAAAATATTTGCTTTAAATATTGGTTCAATTTTCACTTGAACTGACCGCAAAGGCTGTTAAATTAAGTCCATTAAGAACATTTTGCTGTGGTCTTGTTGGATATGAATAGTGTATCTTTTTAAATTCAACACGACCCGTTATTTCCTGAAAATTTTTTTAATTATGAAATAATTAAGAATATTTTGGCAATATCTTCAAGGATATTAATTTAAGTATTTAAAAATGAAATGATATTTAAATAATTAAATGGCTTAACGTGTATCAAAATTGCTCAAGTTTTTATAAACTTTGAAAATAATGCAGTGCTAAAGTTTACTGGACGTATGCCTTCTTCAACAATTTTAGCAGTATTTTCGGTATTGATGATCTGGAATAATGAATCTGAAGCTGGAGATGCCATGACAAACGTATTCAAACAACCAGCAACCATAATTAATGCCCAACCACTAGTTGAAATTGACACTGCAGCGCTGAAATACCAATTTGCTTTCAACCGATATTAATGAAAACAAGTGCAATCCTTGATAACAAAATATTCCATTAATAAAAATATGGTTTGGTATTGAATATTAACTATGGTAACTTACGTGAAAACTTCGTTTGGTGTTGAATACCCGTAGTAAATTAATGCAATGCCTAATGCATACGATAACATATCACTGTAGAACATGTAAGATGATGTAACGGCAAAAAGTACTGCTTCATATGGGCCACTTTTTTTTTGCACGCGTAACAGTTCCTCGATTTGCTGGACATATTCCCGATGGAAATGCTCCTCTCTTGTGATCAATTGAATTGTTCGTATCTGTTCCACAATTTCGATTGCCAACTGTTAAAAAGATTCATTAAAATATATTTTCTCTTTCGCTTCTTTCTTACACAGTTGTATATTACTGTTTTTAGAAATCTATCCTGCAAATATTTGGTGAAATGCGCGTCGCAATACGACGAAACAATTTTAATGGCGAAGAAAGATTTTGAAAGGAATTAGCCCTAATAATCAATGATTAACACATTTCTTTCACTGATTTCAGCATTTCATATATAACTTTTTTGATATTTCATTATTCCCTAAGTGTATGTGATTTCTTTCATTTGCTGAATGCTATCTCCCATTTCGATTATAGCGTACACTATTACAACATCTTTCAAGACATTCGCGATTGCAAATATCACGTAAATGTCACGTGTTCAGCTATAAAAAGCTTGTCCATTTAATCAAATGTATTATATATGATAATAGTGAAATGAACGAAATTTTGAGAAGGAAATAAATTGAAAAAATAGCCTACTTGACCGGTAAGATCCTTTTTTAAGGCGCGCTTATTTAACTTCTGCATTTGACGTGCGATAAGCAATAACAGCAAGATTAGTAGTAGGAGATTTCCAGTGCCAACTAAGCCAATTCGCCAATTAAATATTATTGCAATAACAACCATCACAAAAATCGCCACAACGTTATTCAGAATTTGCATCATTCGTGAATCAAGTGCCTGTAAAAAGAAAACAAATCTTCACTCTTTTTTTGCAATAAAAATAAATTATGTTGTTTTCTAGCATTTTAAATTGGATGCAACATTATGTAAGTAAGGTAAAACTTACTTGCTTATGGACAAGTTTTAACAAAAATTATGCTAATTACTAAGAAAAAAGTATATAAATAGATAAACAGATTTCATAAGCATACTACCGCTTTAATGTTTGGAGCATCAATAGATATACGCGTAACAGTTACAGCACTGCTTGTAGATGGCGTATCAAAATATGCCGCATCTTGATAAAGCACACTACGCAGCGCTCGAAGGCGTAGGACATCTACAACACATTCCGCTATCCATCCAAATGTAAATGTCTGTAAAGCGTATCCGTTATCCAAGTTAATAGTAATTTTTTATTTCAACAGTTAATATTAAAAAATATCTTAATCATATTACAATATACTATTCACAACTTCGCAGTAATCTTGAAAAACAATATATAAAAAATAATTTTAACTAAATTTCTCTTCAAAAACAGTTCTAATTGTTCAATTCGAAGCGTCTACGTTCGAATTTGCCTATAATAACTTTAAAATATTTACCGCAGCAAAAAGGACAATTACGCATACTGCGCCTAGTACAATGTAAATAATGACAACAGGCAAAATTCGTCCCATTATTGATTCCAAATCCGCCGGTGCGAATGCGTCAAACGTAAGATTGAAAATGATTACAAAAGCTGGCAACTCCAACCCACGAAGAAATGATACCAACAGCGCTAATACTACCTTTCCGTAATTGCCGTGGCAGTTCGTATATAATTGCCACAAGCCTTTCGATTTATTTTTTTTCTGCAAAAAGTGTTTCATTTTTTGACAATACCAAAAGAATTACTTCGAAAAGAAGTGCAATAGAAAAGGAGCAAGAAACATTTACATCGTCGCAAATAAGATTAAAAAGTTCAAAAGTCAATTATTTAATTTTTCTTAGGAAAATGCTTTTCAAAGATAATTGTACCATAAAAAAACAATCCATGATAAACTTTATATTTGAACTAATTAATCATAAACGTTAACAGTACGATTGAACTAATGTCATTGATTGCTGAACGCAATAACGGATTTCAAGTGATGTTTCATGCTGTGTATATTCCAGCACATTTTTTTCTACTCTACACAAGTCCAATAGTTAAATTAGGACGAGTTTTATTTACAAACAAAAATAAACGGTTTCCTTTTTTTGCGCATGACCAATTCTTTGATTCTATTACTTGGCTTTAATTATTTGAATCTGTCATCCTTGAAAATCAAGGCCATTTATTTTAGAAAATTACTTGGATTTATTTTGTCTTTAAATTTACATATTAGATACAAAATATGATCAGGATAAATCAAAAAACTTAATTAAACAAACCTTTCCGTTCTGTCCAATAATTTTTTCTGATGGTTCGTTAGTAATTGATGCGCGTTTGACATCACCGCTTATAATACTACCTCGTGTCATTGATGATAGTATACCGTAATTTGATGAGTTGCGACTACTTCCAGCACTTAAAAGTTCTCATTTTAAGGTAATTTAACACTCATTGCCAAGTATCTCAGCCTAGGTTATTGGCCATTGTTGCAATTGCTCTTTCTGGGCACATTAATAAGATTCCAAAGGTTTCGTAAAGTTTGTCAATCGTTAACTTCAAATAGCATGACCAGTAAAAAGAAAAATTACAACGATCTATGAAATGATTCTGATGGAAGTTCTTCAACCAGGACAGGTAACACATTTCGCTTTTCTTCAAACTGCTGTGATTTGACCAGCGATGCGTAAATACCATCCTTTCTACTGCAAAGCTCCTTGTGCGTGCCTGCGAAATGGCGTAAAATATGTGGAAATTAAAAAAGACGAAATTTGAAAATGTTGCTGCATCGAAGACGACCACTTCGTAAATAAATCAGAAGCATTTTATTAACTCTGGCTGGAAATCATTGACCAGAATTTAGGTTTTATTAGTCGAAATATTAAATCTTAATTTTTAATGCGAAGAGGAAATATCACCGAAATAATTACAACTCTCACCGATTTCGGCGACCTGACCTTTATCAAGAACTATAATTTGGTCAGAATCACGTAATGTTGACAATCGATGAGCAATAACGATTGTTGTGCGTCCAACAGATGCCTGGAAACGAGCGTATCTATTATTTAATTAGTCTTAAAATTGAACAATCATATCATGAATAAGTCAATCTATGATAGAGTGAAAGATTATGATTAAAAACAAATTAAATTAGGTTCACAAATAAGGAATTCATAAATAAAGCACAAATTAAAAAAAAATGAATCTTCATGGAACCTTTTTTAGGGCGCTTTGCACCATTACTTCACTTTCTGCATCCAGCGCACTGGTAGCTTCGTCCAGGAGCAGAATTCTCGGATCCCGAGCTATTGTTCGCGCAATCGCTATTCGTTGTTTTTGTCCACCAGATAATTGTATACCTCCAGCACCGATCCTCGTATCATAACCCTTACATTCATTTTTATTTTTAAAATTTTATTCTAATTTGCATAAAACGAAGCATTCTATAGTTTGTCGCACTGTGTTTATCTATAATTCATGGGAAACGGTGAACTTCATTACTTCGATCACTGTCGTTTCATAAAAATTTGGATTTACGTCTCACCTCATTTAATTTATTAATAAAATCATGTGCATTCGCAATTTTGCAAGTATCAATGATTTCTTGGTCTGTAAGATCAGGATTGCCAAACCGTATATTTTCTTTGATTGTACCTGTGAATAACAACGGTTCCTGAATTTGATAAAAATCTATTACTTATAAGATCGTTCCTAAAAGAATAAAATGGTTTTAGAATTTATGAGGGTAATGATATATTGTAAAAACGATATACTGTAAAAATTATATACTGAATGATATACTAATATATTGCAAAATATACTAATGATATACTGTAAAAAAATTAACAAAAATAGCAAAAGCTAAAAATAATCTCTAGTGATGAAAAACATTTAAACTACTTGAATTAATAAAGAGCTATTGAGATCATTAAACCTGTTGTACAACGCCAACAATATTTCTCAGACTATGAATATTGATATCAAGCACATTAATTCCATCAATCAGGACTGCACCGGAATCACAAGTATATAGGGAAGTTAGCAGACCAATCTGAATTTTGATATAAATGAAAATGAAGTAAAGATCAATGATATATGAAAGCGTTTGCCACAGGACATCAAACATATAATTACAAGAAGTACTTAACGAACTAACAGAGGTGCTTTTACCGCATCCACTATGACCCACAAGTGCTACCGTATCACCCGGCTTTGCTGTCCATGATAATCCGTTGAGAATCAGGTGTTCTTTGCTTGTTGGATATGAAAATTTGACGTTTCGAAATTCTACTAGACCTTTTACTTTGTTCAGCTTTATACCGTCTATTGAACTGGAATCAACAGACGGTTTCTGAAATTTGAAATTAAAATTAAGCTGAATCCTCTGATAATGTTATTGATCTGTTATCTTATCAACATGTTACATAGAAATCATTTAAAACATAACTACTATGAAAACGATTTTGTAATTGGTGAGGTCTGTTATCTATTAATGATCAACAACAGTCAGAAACGGTAAAAAAAGAAAGATAACTTACTCGATCGATTATTTTATAGATAACAGCTGTAGCAACCCGTGCATTAAGCACAGCCATTAAGTGTGGACTAAGCACGCCAAGATAGTAAGAACCGAACATTATCACATTTGCAACAGTAAATATGTATCCCGGATTCATTGCAATATGAGTTCGATACAAATGGGCACCATAGCTGTGGAATAAATTGTGTCATATCAGAAACTATTTTGACAAAATGAAGTATTTCTCGAATTTTAGTTTTTAACAAATATTGGTCTTAATTATGCTAAAAGTTATTTTCTTTGAGTTTCAACATTTTGATTTTAGATTTATCCAGGAACTTAAATAGTATTGCTGCTTCTAGTAGTTCAAAAAAAAAATGGATATTAGCCGGAAAGAGAAGCGGCTGATTTTGGAGAACTTATAGACAGGTGTTGGAAGACAAAACAATTTAAAATTGGAGAATTTAGAATCCAGATTAATAAAGATAAATAAATAGCAAAAATTGAATTGATATGTCGCGGGAAGAATACGAATGAAGAAAATGAAAAGTATTTGAAATTCAATCAAAATTAAAGCTTTAAGCAAACAAGCTTGAACGAAACTTACTAGAATCCAATAGCGTAGAAAAAATACAAAACGAAGAAGAAAAGGCCGTCGAAAAAACCTGCGAATGCATATATCTGCAATGCAAATTTACGGCAGGCTTTCAGTGTTGCCGCATATTGTCCGATCATTGTTTCTTGTGCATTACACGCAGCTACTGTTTTCACATTTATGATTGATTCTTCGAGGATTGCTGCAGCACGACCATCAGCGCTGATCTGCAGCTCACTCAAGCGTTTCACTTTCTGCAAAGAACTAATAAATAAATGTTAGGGTTTTAAAAAATTGCAAGAGAACAATTAGTCGATTTCCTGTTATTTTATATGAATTTTGTTGAAGTTGCTTCTGATATTTTAAAAACCATTCATTAGCTTACTCGAGCCATAATAGACAAAAGCGCAGCAGAAGCAGGTCCCATGCCAAGCATCAGCAACGTTATTCGCCATTCATAGATAAATCCAATCACTATAGAGGTCAAAAACATTGTTATGCCACGTAAAATCATACATATTTTATCACCGATTCCATCCTTAATTTTTTCTATATTCCTGAAATTGGATTATTGGCTATCCGAATGGTTAGGGAAAATGAGGAAGTTATTAAAAAATACATGGAACTGTGTTTCATTTCTTGCTTAATAATTCAGAGAGTGAGAATTTGCTATAGGCATAGGATGATGAAATTTACGCGTTAAGTTGGGCAATCAATGTGCCTGTCTTCTGCTGATCGAACCATACCGCATCCTGGCGCAATAATGACTTCATGTATTCCTTTCGCATCGTGCATGTTATATTTAAAGATGCATTTTTCAAGCAAAGATACTAAAATTGTTATAGATAGCAATGAATTAATATTGTTTTAATTCATAAAGTTAGCAGATTTGAAATGAAACCGTCCAAATTCAATGAATCAGATCTTCTATTTCCCTATCTTCATGTACAGCAATCCTTTTTTTAAAATCAAAGTTTATTAAAATAATTAGAATAGAAGGAAATGAACTTGTGCAATGATGATGACAACCATCGAAACTCCGACCGATGCAAAAAGATAAACATAAACATAAGCTTGGTACCAAAATGTTTCAGATTTTTCAAACTGTAAAAGTTTTTCAAACTTTACTTATATTAAATTGTATGTAAAATAAGGCCAATTTTCTTTTACCAAGGAGAAATAATGCTTGTATTAATATTTTGCTAAGAAATTAAAGATTTTGCGATATAATCAAATACTATCTAAACAGTGAGAATGACAAATGGCACTCTCGAAATGAAATTTGTCAGATGGATTTCAAAAAGTGTGGAAAAATGAATATATGGGAAACTCACATCCTTTGTGAGTAATAAGATATTTGTTAATTCACCAGTAATCAAACAAATCATCGGTTGACATATACCAGAAACTATAGCCAAGATGGCGCCAACTGTCATGATAAACCGATCGTATATTGTCGCGAATCGAAACTGAAAGATTATGGCAATTTAGCAATTTAATTTAGCTCTTTTAACATAAAAAATAATTCACATAAATGGATATAAACTTTTTGAATAGAAAAAATTTTGATCGAATAATAATAAAAAGAGAAGTAAATAAGAATACCAGTTGAAAAAATGAAACCGGCTTTGCGTCAAGTTTTTGTTTGGCAAAATCGCCCCTGAAAACAATTTTAGCGCCTAAAATATTACCAAATTGATTTGAAATGAAATTGAAAAAAGTTAAACATAAAAAGCGACAGCGATCCTTCTGTATTCAAAAGATCTTTAGTTACAGTTATTTTTGTTTTTCATTCCCTTTTTTGACTGACTGCTTTTTTTGCTCATTCATTGATTTTTATTAACAAATTGCTCGATACCTGCATAAAATGATACTGATAAATTTATCGATGGTACTTTGTTCGTATTGATCACTAAACGCATCCGAAAATTCATTGCCAGTTTTCAGCACCGCCATCTGTTCAAATTTTTATTTATTCAGCAGCTAATCATGTAAATTATGATGATCAATTTGAAAAATGTTATTTGCAAATGCAAACAACGTGACGAATTCAAAATTTATATAAATATCAAATGAATATCTAATAGATTAATTATGTTAAGAGACAATCTCTATAACCGAACATATTTTTCTTAATTTTGACCTTTTCTAAAATTTGTCTGCTCTTAAAAATTTCAAAAGCGCGGAACAAAATAATTTAGAGCCTTATATTGAGGGATGAGGAAAGCCTAAAATATATTAAACCTAAAATATATATATATGAAATAATAATTAGTGAAGAAAAAATTTAAAAAATTGTTGAAAACGCCTGGTTTGCAAGAATTGGAACTTATTGAAAGAATGGATTTCATTTTTAAAAATATGAAATATAATGCACAGAAATATTAGTCATTCTTTTACAAAATGATTTTCAAAGACAATATTGCATTTCACCAATCAAAAAGTAAGAAATATTTTGTGTTGTAAACTCGCACTTTAAATATCATCACATGTAGAGGATCGATTATTTTAATGTTCATTAAATGGCCATTGACAAGTTATGCATTATGATAATGATAAAAATAAAGATTGTGTGTCTGTTAGGTTTTAAAAAGTTCCATGATATGAAATGATGAATATGTGCAGTCGTTTTTATAAATGTATTTCGATAGGTATTTAGTGAATGACTACCAATCGTTGTTTATTTGATAGAATTATTAAATTAAAATAATCACAAAAAATATGCGAAGCATTTTGTGAGTGTAAAAACTTTGAAAAGGAAGAACTGGAAGGAATAAAATAAGAGTTAGGTTGAGTTAAGTATTGAGCAAAACTTTGCACTGACAAAAGATTTTTTCCAGCATTGTAATAGTAAACAAATGATAAACATAATATTGCGAAGATCAGAAAACAGAAAGGTGAGGTTTTTTTTATTCGCTTTACAAATATAGGAAAATCATCAAATAATAAAAAATTATATAGCTCAAATACCAAAAAGTCTTTTTTTGTTGTCAATAACTGTCCAAATGGAAAAGCAAAAAATTTTATGGTATATAAAAATCTATTTTTGAAAAGACAAAAATCAAATAGGGTTTTAAATTCATTATTTGTAGCATTGACAAAAATATATGCATAATTTGATGTCTGAAAATCAATTGACTCTTGGCCTCTAATGAATAGAGTCGGATGTTTTTTCGATTTTATTTGATATGTTAGCGAAATGGATAGCATCAAAGACTTGCAAATAAACAGTAAATTTAAAATGAATGTGGAAAATTTTAGTAATAAAAATTAAAAATTGAGATTGGTTTTAAAAAGAACTGAATAGATAAGATTGCAAAATTCAATTTCAATGAAAATTTCTGTCAGCAATATGAAATTAAAATGTATAATCCAAAGGCAAACAATTTCTAATTCATTAATGCTTGACAGATTATGCATACCAAAAATATTATTTTTGTTAATATATTCAACATTAAACCTTCCATTTATCAAAGAATAATAACGAGATAGAATGGACAACACGAACAATTTATGGACAGAATGATAATGAAATGGAGTGGACAACACGAACAATTTATGGACAGAATGATAATGAAATAGAGTGGACAACACGAACAATTTATGGACAATGCAGTTTGTTAGGTTATTTCGTTGAAGTTAATTGCATAAAATTGCAAAATTGTTCATATTTCTTCAGTTTCCTTTCTCTTTTCCAGCCATTTAAGTTTGAAAGACTTCACAGAAATAAGCGAAGAAATAAATTTCAACGTTCGAATATTTTTCATTTTGTTAATGCTTTATATCAATAATAGTTTACGTAAATAAAGTTTGGTTAATATATTTCTAAAAAGATGTAATTCAATTTTATGATTTTATTTTAGGCATACAACAAAAATATAAGTGAACTATGACTTCCTACAACTATCATAATTTTATTTATGCTCAAATCTAGTTCCATTTATTTTCGATTTCCTTTTTAACTAAAGAAACGATCATTACGGTAACGTTTGGAGGCTTAGGAATGTATCAGATAACAAAATAAGCAAATTGAATAAGGAGTAAAATTATATAAAGATGGTGCAGATCAATAGAAAGTATTACTTTGAGCCAACTTTAATCATCAACATTTTTTTTTGTTTTCTTCACTCGTAGTAGCTTGGATCACATTATTATTCCATTCAATGGTTGGATCTCTTTCAATAAAATATAGAAGAAGAAGAATAGATCGCTTGAACATTCGTAGATTACAATAGTCTGTAAAACTACTTTAAGAATGCTTACAATATGAAAGAGAAGCAATTGACAGTCTATATCAGAGCATTGCATAGTGCTTATAAATTTATTAGAAGTAATTTCATGAAATACCTTCAATTGATGACCACAGCTCATATTTTTCCGTTCAACGATCACTATATTTTTTATAACAAATATCTGATACGCATTATGATCTTAATAATTTTTCCATGACAGAGAAATAAAATTGAAATGTAATTTTTTTTTTATCTGTAAAATACTATCAGTTAATTTAAATATACTCACATCGATTCTATTTATAGATAATTCACAATTGTTATCATTTAATTATAGAATTGAAATTGATCTAGTTTTTTCAGAGTCAAAATGAATCAATAATTTATATGCTTTAATATTTATGTTAAAATGTTTTCATTTGAATGATATTTCAAACCTATGGAAACATTTATATAAACATAAAATGTATGATTAGCTAATTATATTACCTTTTGCTTTGATCTTGGAAAGATACTATTAAAAGTTATATTTTTGAAGATATATGTTTTATATTATAACAATATTATAACAGTACTAAATTAAACTATCTAAAAATGTTAATTGAAAAAATTCTTAATCAAAATATTGATTTCATAAAACTACTATTCTATTAAATATCAATTTTTTCACATGCTTCTTTTAACAAATAATTGTGACGATAAGTTTCTCACAGTCTACCATATGAGTAATTAATGAGAAGTATGGCTTTGGTTGTTTTAATAATTTTTAAAGAACCAGTTTTCAATCGGAAATATTTATTTCGCACGCAGAAAATTTCAAAATTGACCTTAGGACGCTTAGTTAGTCGTAACAATTTGTATAGCGTATAGGTGCAGAAAAAATTAATACAAAATTTCCACGATGTTGTGAATCAAAAGTGATCGATCTACCCATATCAAAACATTATACGTATTGCTTCAATTCTTCCTACCTGACATGCAACATTATACATATTGTTTCAACGTTCTTTACGTGACATGCACTGGAAATAATTCATTTGTAGGTATCAATTATCACAATGCAAAACTGAATGAAATAGTGTAAACAACGCTATCGTATGGATATTTTAGATCTTTAATGAAGATGATAGACGCTAATTTTATGAATATTACATCGATTTATAAAATATATTCAGTGCGGTTATTTTTCATATTTCTTTTCATTAGCTGCTTTCCCTTCCTGCACGCTTATGGCGCAATTGTAGATTTCGGAAGTGATAAATCTTTAAACTTTGGTAAAATGATAAATGATAAAATTATATCATTATAATAAAATAAATAAATAAATTTTTGTTAAATCATATAAAGTGACCAATTTTAAAAGGTTAAAATGATTATCAAATTTTGAATAATACAAAAATAAAAGTGATAAGGCTATGAAACAAAAAGCTTTAATTGAAAAACACGGACCTACCCATCCTATAATCAAAATTAAATTCACGAATCCACTAACAGATGGTGACTTCACAAATTGTCTAAAATCCTGTCCATGTCTTTTCCCTGATATGAATAAAGCACATAATCGTTTATTGGGTATTAATTGATAATATACAGCAAAGGAAGATATAGTAAACTTTAAGAATTCATTTTTTTTAATTTTTATAATTATTTGCTTATAATCACGATGACCAATGTATTTAATAAATTGATTGTCCATAATATTTCTGTTTCAGCTGAAAATTATATCAGTTTAAAAGCAGAAATTAGAAGAGATTGATGTTCTTTTAGTGTTAGATAAGATTTGATAAAAATATTATTAGCAAGAATTGTCCAATACATTTCATAATAAATCATATTAATAAATAATTGTATTTGCAGTTGAATATGCAAACGTATTTATCATTGATAATTTTATGATTATGTAAATTTATTTGTAAGCTATGAATGAGAATTTTTCGAAGGTAAAATTTAAATTGAAAAACATAATAATAAGAGCATACAATCGGACACCACACTGATAGTTGAATTTGGAAATGTTCATAAACATTCCACAGCAATTCAGCACATCGGCACTCAATTGGGTTCTATTTTTATCGGTAAGAAATGGCAGAACAAAACATGGTGGAGTGAATCGCACTCCTAATATTTCTTTAATAGATAATACAGTGGCAATCGCGGAACAAAGTACAGTTACAACTGTAAAATTAAGTATATTTGAGTGATTGAAAATTTAATTTAAATGAAATTGAACTGAAATAATAAATAGTTTCTTTTCAATAAACTGACACTTCCATTTTTTGTGATCTCCGCTTAATGTGATAATTTTGTAGTAATGATTGTAACAATGAAAGCATCGTGGATATATCTATTCTTTACAAAATTTAAAAATTTATTTTGCTTGAATATACCATTTATAAGTATTGAAATTGAAAGCAGAATTTTCGATGTTTTTTGCAGCACTCTAAAATTATATAAGGTTGGTAAAATAATACATGTACAAAGTACTGTAGTACTTCCGAATAATCAAAAATTCTGTAAATAATTTATACTCTAAGATGCTATTTTTTTTTGTAGATATCTTTTACCTTAATAATAAAATACTGCGACAATCGATGGCTAAATTAATATTGCTTATGATTTAATAATAAATAAAAGTTCATCGTGGGATATGCCAAAAGACTTACTCACGAAATGTCGGTATAATCCATGCATCATTTTTTTTATCATAGGTAGCAGCTTTAATATAAATATTAAATAGGGTTGGTAAAATGACACATGTACAAGGTACTGTAGTACTTCCAAATAAATTCATTACAGAACCAAAATTCGGGAGAGACAGACTGATAAATAATGCTAGAAAGAGTAAGCTTGTGCGAACTACCACTCGCTTGAAGCAGAATTCTGTAACGGATTAAATTTAAATTGAGATTAAAATACTGGTATTCTTGCAAATCTAAGCATCCATATAATATAATTTTGGTTAAATGCAAAAATTGTGAAATATTATGGGGCAGTTTTTCATCTCTGCGGTTATATTATATATTATAGAATCACATGATCTTTAATTTTTATTTTTTTAGATTTTGATTGAGAGTTTGAATTGTTTCGAAAAAGTAACTCACTATGTGGTACATTAAAAGTGTCTTCCAATTGCAAGTTAATTGGATTTACGATGATAATGATAGCAAGAATGCAATGTATCGCCAAGGATAAATCAGCAACATGACGAATCCAGATTGTTTGCACTGAATCTATCACTGAGTTAGCCATACTGACACCGTATACGAGAAATGCATAAGCAGATAAAGGCATATAAAGTAATGCCACAACTAAAATTCAGATATCTAAATTTCAACCTAAATTAGTGTTAATAAAGCATATTCCTGAAATCCTGATAGTGGAAACATCCAAAAACGCAAATGCTGTACTTATGATTATCAATCTCTACAGTATTTTTAAGTACAAAAGCAGCTACAAATATTGCATAACTATGCAATTATTCATGGCCTAAATCTTTTAAAATTTTTGCAAGAAAAAATTTCTGTAAAATAATTTTAAATAAAACTAACAAACAAATCCAACTAAAATTGATTTTTTAAAATCTGCCGGATTATACATATCATTTTGAACAGTTGGGAAGACCTGATGTCCATTAAAAGCAAACAGAAAAATGCCTAAGCCAAGAACGGCATCAAGTGAAATATTCGAATACTGAGCCTCATAGTAACAATCACCAAAATCCAAACTAATACCAACAAATATCATCACGATTGTTATAACAGTACAAACAACAGCAATAATGACTGTCCACCTGAAATTGAATCCATTCTGTGACAACGACCAATGATTGAAATTCCTTCAAAAATTAGGATTGAGAAATGATGAATCTCAATACAAAGATTAAATTAGAAGACCAATTCTTGGGTTAAGCAGATGAAAAAAGATTGAGCCATTATTTTGTTAGTTGAAAGAAAGCCTAGAATATGATAGGTTTTTGGACGCCATAAATATATATAGAAATAGAATGGAAAGAAATGGAACTCACCAAAAATCAGCCGGTGATTTAAGAAATGTGGTTGGTAATATAGATATGGTGACGAGAAAAAGAAGCAAGCAAAAATTAAAATCCAAATTAAAATTAGCCATAAATTTTTGGATTATCTTAGAAGAAAGAAGTATGTAAACCACAGTAGCACCGAATAGAGTTGAATAAACAGTAATCTTAGTGATAATTCTGAATACAGAATTATGTCAAACAATTAGAAAAAAGAAAAATAAACAACTAAAAGTAATTTTTGAAAAAATTGCTAAAAAGAAGTTTTTTGATATAGACAGAAATTTCGAACAATCAAATATAAAAATTAAAAATACAAATTTACGACGATGACAAAGAAGTCAATCAAACAGAAGAATTGAGACAAACTCCGATTGTTTGCCCATAGTTCGTAAAGCCATTTCTGGAAACGGTTTCCGACAATGTTTACGATATTCCGGCCATCGTTCACGCATAATTTCCCACGTGTCAGCAAGTAGCCAACCGGTTGTCACAAAAATTGTACAAATGATTGTCATAAACAATATGCCCAGTACGAATCCTGCAATAGTTGGTCTTAAGTCTGTAACATAAGGAAAAATTATGTTAACGATTCATCAAATAGTTACTAATCTTTGAATTTCCCGAAGTGTCAACTACCATCTCTTATCTATTTAAAAAATTAAAATTACGTCTTAGACTATTTTGTTACCTTGCACACTGTCGAAGATTTGGCAGCGAATACTCATTAATAAATATTTTCAAAAATATTAGCTCTTTCAATTATTATGAAAACTTGGAATAAATCTATTCAAAGAGATGGAAATTTTAAAAAATTTATAAAAGTTCTGATTCTTCAAAATATATCCCAGACAAAAAGACAAAAAACAAAGTTCTAGAAACTTTTGATTGGAAACTTATGAAAACAATACCTGTTTGGGAGAATGCGACAGGCATTGCAACAATACCACCGCCGACTAAATCGCCTAAAATGAACATCGAAGCCACGAACCAACTAATTCCCTTTTGCTGTCCACTTGAATTCATATCAGATTCAATCTTGAAATTTCGAAAGACTCATTATTCTTTCTACTTCAGTTTTTCAGGAAGTTGTGAGGTTATGATGTTGAACTTCTTATAAATTCAGATATTCAAGCACATAACCAAAGTTATTAATACGCAGTTTAAGAGGAGAGATCTCCCAGTCCACCACCAATTATTGCCATCCGGTTTGTTTTATTATTTAGAAGACAGACTGATAATAAATGACAAGAAAATTTGTTTGTTTATTCGTAAGAAGTATTCAAATATTTTAATGTGCTTGGCATGCAATACATTTTGCTACATATTTGAATATTTAACAGTATGACAAGGTGAGATGGATATCTTTTAGAATTATTAGCAAAACAGAAAATAAAAGATCCGCTTTATATCAGTTTCTAGGATAGTATTTGCGTTTAATATTCTTGAAAAAAGCTTAGCACATCTCCTAATTTGATGTTTTTGCAATGCCATTATCAGTCGTGATTGTTAGCTTACTAATTGTATTATTATAACTATAAAGTATATTAGCAAATCACAGAAATTCAGTACTTAAAAATCAATTATTACTAGTATCATTGAATGTCGTGATAGTACAATCCGTTACTAAAAGATTGAATACGGGTATAAACGATTAGTGAAATATAAGAAAGGCATGAAATCAACAAACCTTACTGCTTTCTTTACTAACTACATCTGTTGACAATGACATCTCTATCGATTCATTTTCAGTGCTTCTAGTTTTAGTCGACATTGGATTCTAAAAGTTTTTTAGGGCATTAACACAAGTACCACTTGATACAATACATAACGACAAAGTAGATAGATGTCTATGTTTCGGTATTAAAGTAGATTGAAGAATACTTTAATCTCTCATTCTTTCTTTCTTAATCTGTAGATTTGAAATCAAGGAAAAAAAATGATATAAATAAGGAATATGAAATAATAACTCGCAATTTATTTTAGCTTCTTTCTCTAATGAATGAATTTATATAAAGTTAATTCATGAAAATTTATTCAGCAATTTACCATCCAAATTATTAATGTTAGTAATTTTATCAGTAAAATTGGAAAAATGAAGATAATAGTTTTAATCATACTTAGAATAGATCGTTATGTCTTACAAATATTTAAAGGAGAAGTAATTAAAGGAATGGCAAATTGCGCCTTCCAGAAAAGTCACATATATTTTTTGATCCTTTTAACTCAAATTTTTCAACAATTATGTATGTAGTCGCTCTTGTTGTGACTATGGAAGGTTTGACACTTTTTTCTTATTTACTAATACTAATAGACCGGATAAATTTAGATTTTAGAACTTACTAATAATAACTAAAAAATACCTCACAGAAAATTGTAATGACGAAAATATACCATAATTGTGATATATAAACGATTTTTCTAATTAGCAGAAAAAGAAAACGAAACAAAAAACGCACTATTTTCCTAAGAAATCTCAAAGATATATTTCTTATTGAATGCCTCCATTATCTTTCCAAATTGTCTAAGAAATTTTAAATTTCAACTTCACTGAATAAAATGGAAATTTCACATCTCTGATAAAAAAAACATATCAAATGAATCAGTTAAAAATGAAATTTGAAAGTTTGTGGTGTAGAAGGATGAAAAAATGATTGCAATCTTTTATAAATTCTTATCAAAGGTGAAAATTCATTGGAATATATATTATATTACATGAATTTTTCATGTTAATTTAATGAAATTACATTATCTGTTAATATTTAATTCTCAAAAGATCCCAAAAGAACGATGCAATTTTTAAGATTCAATGAAATTATTGAATTTTTGATTGAAAGAAAGCAGCTTTAAAAAGAGCCCGCTGACCTCATTAGTTCCAGCAAGCGACTGATTAATAAATTGATTTAAAGTTAACTTTTTCATTCTTTCATTAGGATTATATATACATTAATTAGAATTCTAATTTTTCACTTTTTCTTACCAGTAATATTTTTATTCTATTACTATTTTACAGCGAATATTTAGAATGGATATGTTGATTTCGGGTTATATATGTTCGACTAAGCAAAACGATTCAAATCATTTTTCTAGAAACCAGTTGCATGGTTAGTTGTTCCAAAATTTCCACAGTAATTGTAAAATTATGGGCGAACTTTTGGATTTCCCAAAAATTTAGGAATTAAAAAAAGACTCTTTTCGTAATTTTATAATTAAAAATCTTCTCCTTAATCAATTGATCGTACTTCCATAATTTCATAGAAGCTTCTACAATAATTTAGGAGTAGTCTAACAATATACTTCACAACAACTATTGAACATATTTGTCTTCCATCATTTGTCATTGAAATGTTGACATTCGGTAAAATGTTATCAAATTCAGAACTGAAATATTTCAACATTCATGCATTAAATTTGTTATAATCTAAATCTTCTTTTATATATTTTTTTTTTATAAAGTGAATATACGGATCCAAATAAATGAATATGAAATACAAATTTAATTTTCAATTGTTTGATAAAATTAAGCTTTTCATTCTATTTAATTAAGATGAATTCAAAATATAAAGAGTAATGAGGAAGGATCAANTTATAAAGTGAATATACGGATCCAAATAAATGAATATGAAATACAAATTTAATTTTCAATTGTTTGATAAAATTAAGCTTTTCATTCTATTTAATTAAGATGAATTCAAAATATAAAGAGTAATGAGGAAGGATCAAAAGCGTAATGTAAAATTATAACTGAAATATTATTATTTTAGCTCACAATTCAGAAATTTATAAAGTTTAATTTTTTTGTCCTCTCAAAACGTATAAGAATTCCTTTGAATAGCAGAAGGAAAATAGAAAAAGCCATTCTATTATATCAAATAATGCAGTTTGATGTAACTGCATTACAGATGGACGAAAGGTTTTGCATATGTGACTCAAGTTGGTGACAAATAACTGTGATAATTATAACAACTGATATCGGGAATACTGTTCACTTGAATTTGCGCTATAGATTTCTGCATCGTAGTGGATAAATTATAGGCTATTTTCACATGCACACATATCAAATAGCTACAAAATGCTAAATTAGAAGATATTATGTTGCGAATGACTTTTTGTGAATCCAACTTTAAAAAAGTGTTTAATATGATTCGATTCTTTGGATCTTTGGACCTTCTTTTCCATGAATAACTTCCATACCGTATCAAATTTTATTTAAATACGTATTATCCAAATATGTGAGAATTGCTAATATATTGCAAAAAACTATAAAATGCCTTATTGCCTTATTGCCTATTATAATTTCAATGATATCGATCGGATATCTTTATTATCATAATCAATGAAAAGTAAAAACTTGATTGAAAATTCTTTTGTGCTGATAGTTAAGATGTATCTCTTTGTGCATCGAAAAATTATCGTTTTATATTATCGTTTTAACTCTTTCTGTTATCATCATGATTGCTATATTGCTGTGAAAGAAATTTGATCCTCTCCATCGGTGTGTCATCTACACATCTTATCTGAACTGATTTCATGGATTATGTTGATTTCATCGTTTACTAATCTCCGGTATATATTTCCATTATAAAAATTTGTGTTTCTTCTTTTGTATCCCCGGTAAGATTAGCTANCTACAAAATGCTAAATTAGAAGATATTATGTTGCGAATGACTTTTTGTGAATCCAACTTTAAAAAAGTGTTTAATATGATTCGATTCTTTGGATCGTTAAAAACCAGAAAAGACACATTGTAACATTGCTTTGCTATGTTAAAATAATCTTTTGAATGCATATTAGCTAATCTTACCGGGGATACAAAAGAAGAAACACAAATTTTTATAATGGAAATATATACCGGAGATTAGTAAACGATGAAATCAACATAATCCATGAAATCAGTTCAGATAAGATGTGTAGATGACACACCGATGGAGAGGATCAAATTTCTTTCACAGCAATATAGCAATCATGATGATAACAGAAAGAGTTAAAACGATAATATAAAACGATAATTTTTCGATGCACAAAGAGATACATCTTAACTATCAGCACAAAAGAATTTTCAATCAAGTTTTTACTTTTCATTGATTATGATAATAAAGATATCCGATCGATATCATTGAAATTATAATAGGCAATAAGGCAATAAGGCATTTTATAGTTTTTTGCAATATATTAGCAATTCTCACATATTTGGATAATACGTATTTAAATAAAATTTGATACGGTATGGAAGTTATTCATGGAAAAGAAGGTCCAAA